GGGGGGGGTGTCCATGGACCATCAAGGCATCGCTAACCAGCATGTGTAACTTAATAAATATGGGATTGTTTGAACTTTTCAGGAGACATTTTTATTGATTTGGTAATAAAAAACCTGGATCAACCATTTCGCCGGGAATAGGGGGAATGGCCAGAGCCCTTTAGTGACTCAGACACACGGCCTTCACGGCCGCGTCGACTCGCATTTCTGCGGCGGCCGTCAGCGGGATGGCGGTGAACGCGTCGCGAGGTTGTGTGTCGGAGGAGCTCGGCTCGCTGATGATTAGTGGCCGACCTTGACGGGCTCGCGGGATGGGGCCCAGGAATTGTAAAGAGGTCTCGAATGAAACCTTTCTTATAAATCGTGTGTCTGGCAGCTTTTGGGGCCGGATTGATGACTGTCGCACTTGGTGGGTGACCCAGCATGGAGCCTCTGCTCAGAACCGGATCCAGGCCACTGCTTGTGGCCCGATTTGCCCAAGGAGGCTCCGACATATCCATCCATCCATCCATCCATCCATTTTCTGTAACCGCTTATCCTACTCAGGATTGCAGGGGGTCCAGAGCCTATCCTGGAGGCTATGTGTGCAAGGCAGGGAAGAACCCAGGAGGGGGTGCCAACCCATCACAGGGCACACACATACCATTCACTCACATGGCACACACATACCATTCACTCACAGGGCACACACATACCATTCACTCACAGAGGGCACACATACCATTCACTCACAGGGCACACACATACATACCATTCACTCACAGGGCACACACATACATACCATTCACTCACAGGGCACACACATACATACCATTCACTCACATGGCACACACATACCATTCACTCACAGGGCACACATACCATTCACTCACAGGGCACACACATACATACCATTCACTCACAGGGCACACACATACATACCATTCACTCACAGGGCACACATATGGGCATTTTGGTAACACAACCTCAGCATCTTTTTGTGGTGGCTTAATGGTTAGGGAAGTGCACCTGGTACCCTGAGCAAGGTACCGCCCCCAAGCACTGCTCCCCAGGTGCTGAATTAGCTGCCCCCCTGCTGTGTCACATTGTCACATATGGGTTAAATGCGGAGGACGCGTTGTTGTGCAAGGCAGCAGTGCTAGTGAAAAGTGAAAATACCGTATACATGGCCGGCTCAAGCTATAGGCAGCTGCTTAGGGCCCCCCAATAACCTGCGTTGTGGAGGAAGTGAAATGCTGATCAGTTTTCTGGCTGGGGGGGGGGGTTTCCCAAATAAAGCTTTGCCTGGGCCCCCTGGAAGGGTAGATCCGGCCCTGGCCCTGCCTGGCTTACTGGGAGACCATTTTCCCCACAGAACTGGGAATGGACTCTCCCTCTGTCTGATGTCTCTGACCCGCTGATGGTCTCACCTGTCACTACCAGCCCAGTTTTTCATTGCCTGTTTTTTTTCTCTGTACGGCAGTTAAGCATCCATCCATCCATCCATCCACCCACCTTTTATAGCCACTCATCCAGGATGGTGTCACTGTGGATCGTTTATCAGAAAGCAGAAAGTGAATATGAGAGGAAACCTTAAGAAAATATCCTGCAGCTTTAGAAGTCTTGTAGAATGAAAAATACTCTTTTTGATGTGTATTTCAGAATGAAACGGTACCTTATAAAAACGAGGCATGACCAGGCCCTGAAAAGAGAAACACAATGTTTATTCAGCGATCGGTGCATATAAATGGATGTCGGTGATCTCCGTCAGTGCTGCGGACGGTTTGTGCTGCGGATGGTCGGTGCTGCGGACAGTACTGGTAAAGACTGGGCGTTTGGCCTGTTTCTGTCGCATTACCCAAACCAGGCTGACTGACACGGGATCCACCCCCTCCCACGTATCCAGTCCACATGTCTCCTCAGTGTTAGCCATAACTGAGTATAATAAGCCACAAATATCTTAAATTTTCACTGTCATCCAGACGCCACACTGGTCAAAAATGCTCAACATTTACCGCTTTGGCTTTGTATTTCTGCAAACTTCCAGCTGACCATAACCTAAGGTGTCCATATTCATGTGACCCAAACAAATCCACAACTTTTTTAGCCGCGGCCAACCTCACAATCCTGTGACGTCCTGCACCCCCTCCCACGTCCCCTCAAGCAGATCGCTTACACGTGGGCCTGACACAACACACAGATGAAACCCGCGCAGACGGTTGTGACGGGAAGCTGTTTGCTCAGCTGCCCTGGGTACTTGTCACGTAAACACACATCTCTGCGTGCAGCGTGTCTTTCATGATGTACGGTTTATGGTTTGGGGACACAGCATTAGGACACAGATGTCCCCGTGCGCTCTGACTTCTCTTGAAGTCATTCCTGGGTGACTTTTCGGATTACGCACGACGCCTCCCTTCCATACAGTTTCCTACAGACGTTTAGATTTACCAGACAGACATGTTTACACCATTTTTTCCGGGAGGTATTATTTTGTTCAGAATATAGAGGTTCCCACGAGTGAAGATGGCATAGTAAAGCACTGCATTGCTAACACCTTCGAAGCTGGGCTGACAGTCTCATGATTATGGCAAGAAGATGCTGCTTATCTGAGCAGACGGTACTGAAGCATGCAAGCCAGGCTTAGCTCTGGTAACTGTTGTAAATCTGAGGTTAACATTTAGCTACCAGCAGTTGATTGTACACGTACATCACTACAATGTGCCCGCAGAGCACTGCCTTTGTGACCTTGATTTTGTAGTGATGCTGGATGTTGAAAAGAATGTGACAGAAAAGGGGTTGGGCCTATAGCTTCCAGAATATTCTGGAATGCGCCGTTAGAATCCGCTTCCGCTGCCTTCCACGTCCTCCACGAAGACGGAGCGCTTGCTCACCGCAGCGTTCTTGCCGTCCCTCCGGGCGCGGGGCGGAGGCGTGGTCCCCCTGTGCCGCTCCCGCATGGGACAGGGGGCGCGGTACTGGGGCAGGCCGGCCTTGGTGGTGTCTAGCTCATCGGGGTTCTCCTGTTGGGCCCTAAGGGCGGCGATCACCTCCCTGTCCGTGGGGCTTAGGGTGAGACACCCGCAGGACGGCGAGTTCTCCTCCTCCCTGTCATCATCCTCCACAGGCGTGAAGGATCCGGCTCCTATATGCCCACACAGGCCACGGCCATCTTGGTACATCTGTCAGCACGGGGGAAGGAATTAAGCTCTGTGAAGCATTAAAAATACAGCCAGAATACAGCCAAATTTAGACGTTATAAAAACACAACGAGATCGAACCGAGTTAGCAATTCCACGATCTTCGCTAACTGGAATGTTTGCTGTACAATCTAACGGAGTGATTGTGAAGCGTCCCGACAAACATGTTCGGCAGGTTCCAGTCGTCGGCATCCGCCGAGGTGCTCGAGGAGCCGCGAAAGCAGCAGCGTAGAGAGAATCTGAGCAGAAGCGCGTACATGGGAGCCCCCGGGATGGTGGTGGCCAGCCTGCGCGTTCCAGCTAAAAACAGCCGCGGCCCCACCTCCCCTGGGCGTGAGTCAACATCAATTTGTGGGAAGTGCTACCTGTTGGGCCCCCACTTGTTCTCACCGCCCCCCTCTGCCGCAAGAGACGGCGAGTGAGTCACTCCGTGCACCTCCTGAACTGCAACAGAGATAAGGAGCCCCCACCGGGAGTATACAGGGTCCAGCTTTGGTGTGTGGGACCAGTGCAAACGCTTCTCTAAGACAGCGATTCTCAACCAATGGGTCGTGACCCCAATCTGACTCGCGGCAAATTCTCAAAGGGTCACGAGTTGGAAATGTAAGCGTTTTAAAACCGCCAAACTCCTATGCTGATCTACGATCAGATTTCCTAGCCCCAATCCTCGAATTAACCTATATAAACGGGTCTTGGGTCTGTAACTGCTTAGTACAAAACTAGTGAACACGCAACCAATCCAAGAAGCCAAACCACAGCTGGTTAATTTAAAATTCACTGGCACATCCAATCAGATTTGTGCGACAGGTATTGATTGGCATAAATTGCAGAGTACACTGCACGCTTCATCATAGTGTTAATTTAAACTTATGCTTGATATAGGGTCGCGACTGAGCTGGCATGGTAAAAATTGGGTTGCGGTGCAAAAATGGTTGAGAACCACTGACCTAAGAGTTTAAACTTGGGTAGAAGGACTTGGACTCGAAGCTAGAACTCTCAGAGCACGCCAGCCAGCAGGAAGTGGTGAAGTGTGTGTGTGTGTGTGTGTGTGCATGCGTTTGTGCGAGCGTGTTTACCTATCCTTATGGGAACGTTTTTTCCCTTATGGGGACCGGTTTCCTGGTCCCCATAAGGGAAAACTCTATTTTATAAAAATCGGTGACTGCTATGAAAAAACTAAAAATGCAAAAACTCTTGTATTTTGTTAGGTTACTTATGGTTAGGGCAGGGTAGGGGTTAAGGTTGTCATAGTTAGCGTTAGCATTTTTCCCATTGAAATGAATGAGCAGTCCCCATAAGGATATATGTTTACCCTACATGTGTGTGTGTGTGTGTGTGTGTGTGTGTGTGTGTGTACATGTGCTTGCTGGATGCGGCGTCTGCGGGTGTATGGGGGACACTCAGCTCAATTAGGCACCGGGTGTGGAAAAGCCCGAGTAGGAGCAACTCAGGCATCAGCTCTACCCACACTGAGAAGATGGTAGCATCCCCCCTCCCCCCCACGTCTGTCTGTCCCCACTGGGTTTTCCCCCCTCCCCGGCGTCAATGATGGGGTCAGAACTGCAGCTTATTTCAGGGATGAGTTAAATTTTCATTTACTTCCTGTAATTACTTTCCTTTAATCCTGATCTGTCTTATCGCTTTTTAGAAAATGCATTAGTGGGCGATGTCATTGCAGGACATTGAATTCAAAGGGACACAAAATTGGTGGCATTTTTAGGACGCCGCTGCACGGCGGATTATTAACGACAGATGATGTGGCTGCAGTGCCCTGGGATTCGAGGGAACGAGCTGGACAGAATGTGAGGCATTGCGGCTTGTTCAGCTGAAAAGCAGAGATCAGATGTCAGAGTTACCACCCACGGGGATAGTTTTTTTCTCTCAGTTGAAACAAGCTAAATGACATGTTTTTAAGATAAGGACATATCTCTCTCATATCATTACTTCCACTTATTTAGCTGGTGTTTTCATCTGAAGGGGACGTACAATTGAGAAAATGGGGTCAGTAAGTCCCTAGAGCAATGTATCCTAACCGGGTCCTTGGGGATCCCGGACGGTCCGTGTTTTTGCTCCCTGGACCGTCTGGGCGTTCCCAAAGACCAGGTTGGGAAATTGAACTGGCAATTGGGGTTAAGGGATTTGGTCAAGGGCTCAACAGTGAAGCCACTTTGCTAACCAGGGGCTTGAAGTGGCGACCGTCTGAGCACAGGCATGGAGGCCTGTCCCTAACAGCCAGCCCAGATGGGACTCAAACCCACAGTCTCTGGCTCAGGAAGCCGTTATTGCCCTGATTTATAAGGCTGTCTCTGCTCCTCCTTGTGGAAAAGTGATTTCTTTCTCTTTCAGGATGACTTAAAATGAATGAAAACCAGAGCACATGAACTTGAGCACATGATTGAGTTCAGAGGACTCTATGTGGCTCAAACTCGGTCTGTTTTCCTGATTTCCCCCATAATGGCTTGACGTGTTGCTCGACTGCATTGGCGCACACACTTACACACACACACACACACACACCACTCATGTGCAGGGTCAGTAATGTGAGGTAACAAGGGCTCCATATCTCCTGACAGGCCATTTGCAGCTAGAACCAGCTGTATGCCAGCCTTGGGTTACTCTGCGAGTGTCATATTGTTCTAAAATTAACCCCATCCAGCAGGGCAGTGATAAAACAGTTCCTCTCCCTGGAGGACACGCTCAGTACCACTTAATCCCACCCTGGCAGGGCTGTGTTTTCACACCTTCATCATGGTCTTCTACATCAACAGTCTGGATACAGATACTGAGATCAGGTGGCGTTATGGTGACAGAACAAATTAACCAATGATTGAAAGGGGGTGTAGATTCCCAAGAATACACATAATATATATATATATATATATATATATATATATATATATATACACACACACACACACACACACACACACACACACACACTGTGAATCGCTTCAGGAACCAATGTGTGTAAATCATGAAAGTACCTCAGCAAAATCACATACAAAACAATAAATCACTTTAACCAACAATGAATGACCAAATCACTAACACTGTTGCGCATCATATTCTGGGTTTTTATGGCATCTGTGGGAATGACTTGTTTCGTTACTTATAGTTGTGTGGTTAACCATCGGTTTGCTGCAACCTTTTTATTGTAAAGTAGAACAGAAGCCTCGCACCTGCTGGTAGGTCACGCAGTCGCCTGTGCAGTTGTTTCTCTGGGAGAGCCACCCTTCGTCACCCGAGCACATCCTGTCCACTTTGCAGGCGTCGAACCTGCAGGGGAACAGAGGGAGTCGTCACCGGCCGATAGGTGAACCGAATACACAAGTAGCCTCTGACTGGATGAGGAGGGAGAGCGGACCACCGGCCTTCCAAACCAGGAGACTCACCAGTCCCTGCAGAAACTGTGGCAAAGAGGAACACCCTGAAAGGAACCAGGGAGCCGAGGGTGGGGCCAGCGGGCAATGTCTGGGGAGCACAGGTGGAAGCAGGCCACGCGTTTCAGGAAGGCCCTGCACCTGGTGTGCAGGAGAGAGGAGAGGCGTGACCTTTTAGTGATGCAGGAACAGGCAAAGGTCAGGGAGGGGCCGGGTGTGTCGGACTGTGCTACTCAAGGTTAAACAAAGGGCATCCTTTTAAAAAACAACATAGGCCATGACATTCATCATCAAAAGCATTTCAGTGGCTTGTGGTATCATGCTATAAATCAATGTTGAATCATACTAATATACAGTTGGGAGACAAGTTTGTGGGCCCATTGGAATTATTTTGATTTCTGCATGAATTTCATCCAAATCATCACGGGTGGGTAATTCAGGTCTAGAGAGTCCAGACCGAGATTTTGTTTCAACCAACCAGCTGAGCATAAAGAGTCACAGTCAGAGAGTATTCAACTGGTTGGTTGAAACGAAATCTTGGTCTGGTCTTTTGCTCTCTGGACCTGATCTACTCACCTCTGAAAATCATAATAATAAATACAGCCTTATTTAACAAACAAACACATACATCATTGTACATTTCCGACTGCCAAGGGCTCAAAAACTATCTGCTCACGACTGTGTTGACTGGACAGATCCTTTGATGTTTCTTCTTTGAAGAGACTGTGGTTTTTAAAAATATGCCAGCAGTGCTGGAAAAATATATATTTGAGCCACATTCTATATAAAAACTCAGCAGGTATGTTGCTGGCATCATGTCTTTGCATGCTCACACCCCCGTCACGCTGCTATCTGAGTTACTCTTGGTGAGGCTGGTAAAGACGACCTACCCTTGGCTGACGGGTCCACAGCCATCCCAGAATAAGTCCTGAACCAGGCGGCCCGAGGAAGCTGTAGGCACCTGGATATCGTTTTCTGAACAGCATGCATCTGAGAAAATAAAATCGCTGTAACCGACATAGCATGCCTTGTGTGTGGCTATATTTACATGGTGTTACATGCTGGTGATGTCATTGATTATGTCATCATTGTTGAGCCAGATGCAGAGTTGCTGAAAGTAGGCAAAAGATTATGGGAGAATTATACCCAAGGTCTCTGTCTCTTGTAAAAACAAATACTTGAGGTTCTGCATGTCCAAATGGCATGAAACTAATTATTTCAGCAAGTCGACAGTTCCGTTCTTACTTTCTGCATAAAGTGTGCAATCTCTCAGATAAGGTTCCGGACTGGGCGTGGCTTTATGTTTCCCATCTTGCAGGCACGCTCCATCCTGGCATTGTGACCAGCCAATCAGAAGAGTCAATAAATATGCAACGGCCAATGGAAACTGTGTTGGAAAAGTTTGGGCGACTCCCATTTCTTCACTCTGTTCGTTGGGAACAGGGACGTTACTTATAATATCAGCACCTTGGACAGCCGTAGAGATAACAGTTAACGCAATGAATAATAATTTATGAAAGAAAACCTCTCGACAAATATAAATTCCTCAATAAAATTCGTGATGTGACAAATTACTCAACACATATTTATACCCACAGAAAAAAACAACTGCTCATTACTTCAGTCACAATCATTGCCTATTCATTGTCTTTGCTACTTCAGTGAGCAAAATTTACATTTTTATTGCTTTTGAACTTCTAAGTGCGGCTTCAGTGTGACGTTTAGGCCTCTCGTGCTCATATTTTGTCATATAAACAGCTATTTTTCTAATATGGGACATTTCTATTTCCCGATGTCAGATCCAGCAGCGCATTATTATTCACTGCGAGGGATCCCAGACCGAGACAGAACATCTAAAAATATCTCAAAGCGTCTTGGTTTCAGTATTGAGTCGTCAACTATTAAACTATTGTCAAAACTGCAAAAAGCAGAATCAATACTTTTCCGCTCTTGTGTTTCCTCTTAATCACATGGTTTTGTTTATAACAACGTTGCTTTAAACTAATAGCGACGGTTAGTGACTATCTGATTACGTATCCAAATGGTCCTACGCAGTGTTTGCTTGCCTAATGTTGTGTCGTCCTTGTTGGAATGTGACAAAAATGACAAAAGTAGTAGAAAAAAACAGCCGAGACTGCTTGAAATGGTGTCATTTATCTACAGTACATGTCATATTCGTTTTCCATCGTACCGTCCCCCAAGCTGTTGATAGGAATGATATAGTAAGACCTAGGCATTCAAAATATCAAATACGTTTTAATGAAGATGATGACGGAAGCTTTGCCTAGGCTAAATGTACGGAATGCTTCAAATTTTTATTGATAGTTAGAAAAACATTTTCCTGCAGTCTTTTGATGGCCCCTAAATTGCTTTAAACTGACAGATCGTTTATATCAATGTGTGATTTCACAGAAAAATCAGCGCGAATAGAACGGATGAAACGGCCGGGGTCTGTGTATATAAGAAAACCGGACAATCAATCACCAAAGGCATTTTGGGCAAATTATAGGCTGCGTTCGCTATTTCATACGGCCAGAATTTATATGATAGTGTTACGTATAACGTAGGACGCGCACATACAAGCCTTTTAATCATCAATGGTGACAAAATAGCTCCCCCCTGATATAAACCCCCCATTGTATTGATAGTTATACATTTGCCCAGGTGTTTCGACAACGATAATTATACAAAAATTGTGATATTTCAAAGTTAAACGACTCGCGGCGCGATCGGTCGCTAATTACTTACGACATCAACAGACATAATCGCAAAAGTAATCACAATCAATAACATTCAATAAAAAATGCATCATATGCTATAACAATTAGAGCCAGAAAAGAAACGTTGCAGTCACCGCAGAAACTGAAGTCAGTGAATCGAGCGCAACAGTGGTTAATGGGGAAATATTCAAGATAGCAAAACTAAACATTTAAGATATGCCCCTCTGCATGAGGCAGAACCTGCAGGACGCTGTCTTTGACCTGTCAATGTGGGGCTCCGCTGGAGACAATCTGCCGCGCCTTCCTCTTGTTTTCCCTTTCTTCCCCTCTTCCTCTCGGCCAGAATGAGATATTCTCTTCCTCAAACCCGGCGGCTAATTTATCTGTGATTTATTGAAGGGCATCTTGATCGCCCGCTCTTCCATCCAATCTCCTCCCTCTTCACTCTCTCTCTCCTCACCTCCCTCCCCCTCTCTCCATCTCCCTCTCTCTCTTTCTCTATGAAACACATGCGTTCATGTGGGGCGTTGTTCACTTACCTTATGCTACATTTGGTTACCCTTTACCTATAGCAGACATAACTGTCGTCAATAGACATTATGATACGAGAATTAATTTTCCTCTTAGGTCAATAACGTCCATGTAATCTAATCTGTTATAAAGTGAAATAGCTCTATTTAACAACAATCATTTGACATCTCCGGTAAAATGGCTTGGAATAAATTAAATGCTTAAATATGTGAAATTTCATCAGATCCATTACGGCCAGTCTAATAACTGAATATAGGCTATCTGCCCAGTGATCCCTACATGTGTACGCATATGCTGGTAACTTTTGGTAGGCTGTAGTATTAAGGTGCCATGCCATTTTTTTCCCGGGAAATTGTTCTGACGCCTTGGGATTGAAGTAACCAAATGACACGCACGATTAGCGGCCGTTTCAAGGAAGACACGGGGGCTCCGGGGACCGCGTTCTCTGGTTTCAGATCTGGCTGTCGCCCTTGCTGAGAGCACGGAATGTGACTCCGTACTCCCGGTAGTGTCGGATTGCCGACCAGCCATACAGTTTTTTGTTCTTTTCGCGCTTAAAATGACCATTTTGTTCAATAAGTATGCAGTGAATACATGTTATCCAGGGTGTCTCCGGCTGGTAAGCGGAATTTAATTATGGAAAATAAAACGTGTATTTCGATTTATCTGCGGTCACTCTTGGAGTTTTTTTACCCATTTTCAACACATAGGCCTATACAAATATGTAAAGAAATAACTTTAGAACTATATAGATATAGAAATAATTTGACCTTCCAAATATATAACTGCCGATTTATAAAATGCTCTCTTCCCGTTAATATAGAAAAATATAATTCAGAGTATTTGTCCTGCAGGGACCTCGCATGGCAAAGTCGTCGCTAATATGTTCCGCCCTAATAATCCCATTTTATGAGAGACCGACTGACTGACTACATCAGAAAAAATCGTGCATCGTCTTTGTGATACTATGCGTCATATAGACAATGCATGGTTATATATAAAACATTTACAGCTAATGGATATAAAATACTTGATGACTCGTGATTTGTCATCTAGGGTGAATCAGCTGTAGACTGAAAAAGTGAGGGCGCGAGGGGGGGGGGTCATATTTTAAGCATGCCTGGATGGAAGTTGAGGAAAATTTTCCATTGAAAAATAAATTAATTTACTAGAAAAGGAGTATAATATAATAAGTGCATAATGGTGACTGGGGGGAGGGTTATTGGCTTAGACCTTTGGGATGGAATTAACATATATGTGACATATCTATGTTTTACTGCCCACTGAATAACGGACATGTTGTCCAGGGTGATCCTCTTGTCCTTCTGCAGGGGGGTGTTCCATGAAGCAGGATTTCTTGCTTAGCTGGATAGCTTGTTAGATTTAAGGTAGTCTGGGCTATATTAACTTCATCTTCATTCACATACATTTAGCTCAGACTACCTTAAATACAACAAGTTATCCAGCTAAGCAACATATACTGCTTTGTGGAATACCCCCCAGGCCTATTGTAGGAGAGTGGTTTCATGGGGTTAGGCTTCTATACCTGTGTCCTGAAGGTTGCTGGTTCAAGTTCCATCCTCAGTATTGACATTGGGCCCTTGAGCACCAGCTCTTAACCACCTAAAATTCTCCAGGAGCAAGAGAACAATGGCCAACCCTGTGCTCTGACCCCCAAAGTTCACTCATGCCTGTATGTGTGTGTGTCACAAAGGAGAGCAGCACAATTTGCGCCATAACTACAGGATTCCACTTTGCCTGTACTCTTTTTTTTGTGCAAATTGGCAAAAAATGCAGCATTCCATAAGTGGCTACTGAACACAGGTGTGTAAAAATGATTAATAGTGTTGGCATCGCGGCAATACCAGCATGCGGAGAGTATTATGGGTTACAGATTGATGGGGATCATTTCTCCGCAATGTCAGCGGTCAGACCCACAGACACACCATAATGTCAGAGGCTCGCCAAGGTCCAGCCAGGTTTTGACACAAAACATCTACATTGTGGTTAGGAGGGGGGGTCACCCCGTGACTTCTCTCACGCAGCGGGATGGGGAAGGGGGGGGGGACACTGCACTTGACCTGTTGCCAGGTCAACGGGCGAACGCCCCCAACAAGCTTCCTAACAGCACCGCAGACGCTCGCCAAGGTCCAGCCAGGTTTTGACACAAAACATCTACATTGTGGTTAGGAGGGGGGGTGACTTCTCTCACGCAGCGGGATGGGGAAGGGGGGGGGGGGGTTATGAAAAACAGCAATTTACGCAAGTCACTTGTGACAGCGGGGCTTTCTAAGAATTAATGTCATTGACGATTATTACTCAGGAATTCATTTTGCAAGCCCACTTTTGTACGCCACTGACTGGATGAGCGGCGCAGGTAATGTGGTATTTTAATTCCGCTGTAACTACACATATTGCTTGTAATTCTACTGCTTCTGTTGTCCATACTATTGATGTTGCTGGTGACACATATATATATATATACAGCAACAAGAACAACAACCATAATAATAATAATAACAATAATATTGCATCAGACTGGCATCCCATCCAGGTTGTACCGCTGCCCTGCGCCCTGTGCCCTCTGGGATGGGTGCACGCCCCTTGTGACCCCGACCAGGATGAGCAGTTGGATAATGGATGTATAGATGGATGTATGATTATGGTGATAATATTAATATTAATATGAATATACGTGCAAGTAAAGTTATCTGATTCATGTCAATGATTTCTTTAAAAAGAAAAACTTTTAAAAAGTTACTTTTAGAAAACTGTTAAAAAACAAGTAGGTAAACTCCAGGAGGCATTGAGCTATGGGGCTTAGTTTATAAACCTGGATTTTTGAAAATTGCTGGAAGTGTAAGTCACCTCGGCGGCGGAGCTCCCCCAGGGTCCTAAAGCCTGCTGCTCTGGATCCACACTGAGCCCGGCGCGTTCCTCTGCTCTGCGGGGGGGCCTTTGTGCCTAAATGCCCTGTACTCCCCCCATCGCTGTGAGCCTCACAACCTCGCCTGCTACCGAGGGCAGTGGGAGAGGAACAGGGGGCAGCAAATCTGACCTCGCCATGGTAATTTGGTGGGGAATAATGATCCACTATGTGCCAGAGCTATTCAAGGACAGACAGCATGAAGAATGGAAGGAGAAGGGTTAAAGTGTGCCACCACGTGGAAATTAGCCCCAGCCAAGTTCCAGTGAATACAGCTGCTTTCTTCCTGGTTCCAGTTTATAGCGATTATTCTGCCCTTGCTGTCACCAGTTGCAAAGGATTCATTTCCACCATTCATTGATATTTACTCTGTTCTCCAAGGGTTATTATTCTTTAATGTGGTCCTTGCATTTCTGCCAGGCCTTTCCTGCAGCATGTAAACATGGCAGAACTCTTTAGGGATCCTTGCACTGCGACTCTGACAGGTCCTTCTGTGTACAAAGGACCCTCCCTTCTCCATCAATATGTGGGTCATGCTGGTGATGGTGCTTTGAACTCAAAGATGGCTGAAGTGCAAGGCAACCCCCCCCACCCATCCATGAGGTGTTTTGATTGGGTGACTCGGTGGGGTGACTGACCACAGGAAAACCACAGAAAGTTGAGGATTCTCTCCCTTTCCTGCTCCTCTTTGGTTTCACACAGAATATGTTATGGGTGAGTGCGCACTGCGGACTTATGCAATATGACATGTAGCAAAACAAAACAGGCCCTTACGATGCTGCTCCAGCTCCCCATATAAAACCTGCCTGACACTTAATGCTGTGACAGTTTTTGCAAGCAATCTTTGCAAGTCAGATGGAGGAGCCTGGAGGCGTGAGGAGAAGGGCAAGTGGGTGGGATGTTGTGCTATCGGCTTGATGAAGTTGGACACCATTATTATAAACTTACTTACTTTGGCATTCAAACATTCAGATTGGTGGCTTCAGCTTCTGCCTCTGCATCTATGTCTGCAGAGTTTGCATGTTCTTTCCTTGTCTGCGTGGGTTTTCTTTGGGGACTCAGATACCCTCCCACAATCCAAAGGCATGCAGTTTAGGTGATTTGGCATCTCTAAATTGCCCTTAGTCTATATCTATCTGATTATATGAGTGTGTGTAATGGACTGACATCCTGCCCACGGTGGCCCTCACCCCGTGATCTGCCAGAGGCTTCAGACACACCGCGCCTCACGAAGCGATTGGATATTAAGATTTACTCGGCATGCAAAGTGCCACAGAGATGCAAGGAGGCTAAAGGCAACTGGATTCGACAAGCCTTCCACAGACGATCAGAAGGCTTCCCAGAAAGCACCGGGGCTGGAGGAAATTGCAGGAGAATGTTCATTTTAATGGAACGGGCTCTACAGAAATGCAGCTTCTGTGCTGATATGCACACAAGCTCAGGAGCGCTCTCTATTTGTACGAAGCTGTTAAGAGCACTCAACCAACTTACGCCCCCATCCTATTCGCTCAGTTCTCAGAGTGTGACTCTGCAGGTTAAAGCTCTGTGACTGTGTGGGGAAGGTTACTGGCTGTCAGGATAATTGTACTACTGTCAGACCCTTGAGCAAAACCCTTAAGCGGAAAAGCTGTTTCAGTGGGTGTTGAATTAAAGGCTGACATCAAGGTCAAATGTGTGTTTCACAGGAGAGCAGGTACTGCTGCAAATAAGGTATCATCAGTCCAACCTGATTAGAACTCAAATTATTACAACATTGCCATTATTTCACTACTATTCTGTGCTTTATAGCTGTTTGAAAAAGTGGATTCATTTATACATTATTCGTTTTGGTTTTTTTATATAGAAAGTACTTTGACTTTTTCATAACCAAGATATAGGGAGACATATTTCCTAGCCTTCAAAAGCAAATGAGAACGATGGACAAAACGCACAATTTGTGACATGAAAAACACTGTTAATAAAATACAATAAAAATAATTTGGT